ACACAACAGCGACGACGGCGACGACGGCGACGGCGACGACGGCGACGACGGGGACGACGGCGACGACGGTGACGTACCTCTTTTTTTTTTTTTTTGCGAGAGAGAGAGAGAGAGAGAGAGAGAGAGAGAGAGAGAGCAGCGCGCTCGACGAAGATGCAGCACAGAGAGAGAGGGAGAGGTGGTGAGTGAGATTCAGAGAGAGAGAGGGGTGGAGAGAGTATGAGAAGAGATGGTGGAGAGAGTTGATGGGGTTGAAGGGGGGAAATAAAGGGGAAAGCAGAGAATGGCGTGCGGAGGAGCAAGGGGGTGGAGATGCAGATGGCTCAGGGGTGGACGAGAGAGAGTAAGGACGCGCTCGTGTTGTAGATGATTCAGAGATGTGTGCTGTGAGGGAGGCCGCATCTGACTTGAAGTAGAGGGTTAACAGAGATGACGAGGATAGCCGAGTGCCAGTGGCTAGACAAAAGAATCCTTGAAAGTGTCGTCGTGTAAAAGAGCACAACACTTGTTCTGGACAATAGCCATAATATAAAATGCACCCCTTTGGTTTTAATTTATTGAGACTGGAGGATTCACACATTGCAAGTCAAGTTATGATTCTTGAAACAGATGTATCTTCATCCCTCTGAAATACAATCTCAAGCATGCGCTTTCTCTGTTTCACGTTGATATTTGCCTTTGCGATTTCTAAATCTAAAACACTTCTCTGCAGGTGATGCAGCCAACACGACGTCTCTCTTGTTTCTTTTGTTTGTGTTTGAGGATGTTTTTTTTTTTTTTTGCGCAGATTGTGTGTGTGTGCGTGCGCACATGTGCTCCAACGAAACGGCGACGGCGGTGAGCGAGCCAGCGCGAATCGAACACGGCAGCCCGAGGGTGTCTTGCCAATTGGTACCGTGCAGGCGAACCAGAAGAAACCAGAAGAGGAGATCTGGATGCGGTCTGCCAAGGGCGTAATTCTGTTGTTGTTTGGTTCCAACCTCTGGCCCAAGCTAGCAGCACGAGTAGGCAAAAGCCAGAGTGAGAGAGAGAGAGAGTGAGAGAGAGAGACAGAGACAGAGTGAGAGACAGAGTGAGAGACAGAGATAGAGTGAGAGAGAGAGACAGAGACAGAGTGAGAGACAGAGTGAGAGACAGAGATAGAGTGAGAGACAGAGAGAGACAGAGAGAGAGAGAGAGAGAGAGAGAGAGACAGAGAGAGAGAGAGAGAGACAGAGACGATGGAGAGTGGGAGAAAGATGTAGGCACACATAATATTATGGGCATCCTTGGGCACCATGCACGAAGACAGAGACAGAGACAGAGCGACAGCGATGGAGCAGAAGGACAGACAGAGAGACGGAGAGACAAGAGAGACAGACACGGAGAGACAGTCACACACACAGTCCAAGAGAGAGGGACACACACACTGAGAGACAGCCACACACACAGTCCAAGAGAGAGGGACACACACACTGAGAGACAGCCACACACACACACACACACATTAAGAGAGAGAAGAGAGAGAAGAGAGAGAGAGATGTTTCACGTATTTTTTTTTTATTTCGAATTTCTCTAAAAAAAGGTAAAACCGTACAACAACACACACATAGAAATGGCAGCGGCTGGGGGTGCTCTGTGTGTGTGTGTGTGTGTGTGTGTGTGTCC